TATTTCTTTTTTCACTTGTAGTTTTCTGAAAAAAGGTCTTTTACTTCCTTAGTTAAGTTTATTCCTAGGCATCTTAATTTTTTTGTAGCAATGGTAAATGGTTTTTTTGTTTATTTGTTTTTAGTTTCTCTTTCTGTGGGTTCATTGTTGGTGTATAAAAATGCCAGTGATTTCTGGATGTTAATTTTGCATCCTGCTACTTTGCCGAATTCATTTATTAAATCTAGTAGTTTTTTGGTGGAGTCTTTAGGGTTTTCTATGTACAATATTATGTCATCTGTGAATAATGACAGTTCACTACCTCCTTTCCAAGTTGGATGCCTTTTATTTTTTCTACCTGTCTCATCACTATGGCTAAGACTTCCAGCAATATGTTGAATAAGACTGATGAAAGTGAACATTCCTGTGTTGTTCCTGTTCTTAAGGGAAATGCTTTTATATTTTGCCCACTGAGTATGTTGGCTGTAGGTTTCTTATATATGGCCTGTATTATGTTGAGGTGTAGTCCTTTTATTCCCACTTTGCTGAGAGATTTATCAAAAATGGGTGCTGGATTTTGTCAAATGCCTTTTCAGTATCTATCAATATGATCATATGATTTTTATCTTTCATTCTGTTTATGTGGTGTATCACATTTATTGATTTGCAAATATTATACCAGCTTTGCATCCCTGGGATAAATACCACTTGGTCGTAGTATATAATTTTTTTAATATATTGCCGGATTTGATTTGCTAGTATTTTTTGAGGATTTTAGCATCTATGTTCATCAGGAATATTGTAATTTTCTTTTTTTGTAGTGTCTTTATCTGGTTTGGGGTTTAGGATTATGCTGGCCTCATAAAAAGAGCTTGGAAGTCTTCCTTCCTCATGAATTTTTTAGAATATTTTGAAGAGAATGGGTGTTAGTTTTGTGAATGTTTGGTAAAACTCTTCTGTGAATCCATCCAGACCACAGCTTTTGTTTGCTGGAAGTTTATTGATTACTGCTTCTATTTCCTTAGTTGTTATTGGTCTGTTCAGGTTTTCTGACTCTTCCCAGTTGAGTTTTGGAAGACTGTATGATTGTAGGAATTTGTCCAGGTTGTTGAATTTGTTGGCATATAATTGTTCATAGTATCTTCTTACCATCCTTTGTAGTTCCATGGTGTCAGTTTTTATTTCACCTATTTTATTTCTGATTTTATTAATTTGGGTCCTCTCTCTTTGTTTCTTGGTAAGTCTGGCTAAAGGTTGATCAATCTTGTTTATGTTTTCAAAGAACCAGCTCTTGGTTTCATTTATCTTTTTTAATTGTGTTTCTAGTCAGTATATCATTTATATCCACTGTAATCTTTATTAGTTTCTTCCTTCTACTAACTCTGGGTTTTACTTTTTGTTCTCTTTCTAAATATTTAAGTTGTAAGGGTTAGATAGTTTGCTAGAATTTTTTTGTTGTTGTTTTTTGAGGTAGGCCTGTATTGCTATAAACTTTACTCTCAGGACTGCTTTTGCTGTGTCCCATAGATTTTGTGTTGTTGTGTGTTCATTTTCATTAGTTTCCAGGAAGTTTTTTATTTCTTTCTTGATCTCATTGGTTACCCGTTCATTGTTTAATAACATGCTATTTAGCTTCCATGTGTTTGAATATTTTTGCGTGTTTTTATTGTAATTGATTTCTAGTTTCATTCGATTGTGATCCAAGAAGATGCTTGATAACTTCAATCTTCTTGAACTTGCAGAGACTTAGTTTGTGTTCTAACATGTGGTCTATCTTTGAGAATGACCTGTGTGCACTTGAGAAGAATGTATATTCTGCAGCTCTGGGGCGAAATATTCTGTAAATGTCAATTAAATCCAGCTGATCTAGTGCTTTGTTTTGGGTCCCTGTTTCCTTATTATTATTATTATTATTATTTTTATCCTCACCCGAGGACATTTTTCGATATTTTGTTCAGATAGAGTGAGAGGGAGAGAGAGAGAGAGAAACATCGACGTGAAAGTGACACATTGAGTGGTTGCCACCCACACGACCCAACCAGGGCTGGGGACAAACTGCAACCAAGGTACGTGCCCTTAGCGGGAACCGAACCCGGGTCTCTCCGGACCGCAGGCCGACGCTCTAACCACTGAGCCAAACCGGCCAGGGCTCCTTATTAATTTTTAAGACTAGATCTATCCAGTGGTGTCAGTGGGTGTTAAAATCCCCCACTATGATTGTATTGCTGTTGATCTCTCCCTTGAAGTCCTCCAGAAGTTTTAAAATATATTTTGGTGCTCCTATGTTCACCAGGGTTATATCCTTTTTTTAGATCGATCCTTTTAATATTATGTAATGACCTTCTTTGTCTCTTATTATGCCCCTCATTTTGAAGTCTATCTCGTCAGATATGAGTATTGCTACACTGGCTTTTTTTTGTTTCCATTTGCTTGGAAAATTTTTTCCATCTCTTCACTTTCATCCTGTGTGAGTCTTTTGTTCAGAGGTGGGTCTCTTATAGACAATATATATATGGATCATATTTTCTTTCTTTTCCTTGTTCTTTTTTGTTTTTAATAGTCTAGAAGTTGCAGGAATTCCTTATTTTAAAAATGTTTTTATTGATTTTTTTAGAGAGAGAGAGGAAGGGAGAGATAGAAACATCAATATGAGAGAGAAACATCGATCAGCTGCCTCCTGCATGCCTCCCATTGGGGATAGAGCCTGCAACCCAGGCATGTGCCCTGACCGGAAATCGAACCAGACCTCTCAATCCATAGGACGATGCTTAATCCACTGAGCCACACTGGCTGGCTGGATCATGTTTTCTTATCCAATCAGCTACTCCATGTCTTTTGATTAGAGTATTTAAGCAATTTACATTTAAGGTTATTATTGAAAGGTACTTATTGGTTGTCATTTTTCTTCTTTATGCCAGTGTTCCTTTCTCTCTCTATATATTTCTTCATCTTTTTACAACATCCCTTTAGCATTTCTTGCAGTGCTGGTTTGGTGGCAATAAATTCCTTTAGCCTTTTATTGTTTGCACAGCTCTTTATTTCATCTTCAATTTTGAATGATAGCCTTGCTGGATAGAGTAGTCTTGGATTCAGACCCTTGCTTTTCATTACTTTGTATACATCCTGCCACTCCATTTTAGCCTGCAGTGTTTCTATTGAGAAATTAGCTGGCAGTCTAATGGGAACTCCCTTGTAGTTAACTTTCTATCTCTCTTTTGCTGCCTTTAAGATTATTTCTTTTAAAAAATTTATTTATTTAGAAATGTTTCATTTTATTTTATTGACTCATTTTTAGAGACAGGGAGAACAAGGGAGAGGGAGGGAGAATCCACAACCTGGGTATGTGCCCTGACCAGGAATCAAACCTGCAACTCTTTGGTGCACAGGATGGTGCTCAACCAACTGAGCCACACTGGCCAGGGCTAAGATTATTTCTTTGTCTTTAACATTTTCTGTTTTAATTATGATGTGTCCAGGTGTGGGTCTTTTTGGGTTCATCTTGATTGGGACTCTTTGTCCAACACCACTTATTAAAGAAACTGTCTTTATTCCATTGTATATTCCTGCCTCCTTTGTTAAATATTTTGAGCAATCTGTCTAGGGTCAATTTCTGGGTTCTCTGTTCTGTTCCATTGATCTATATGCCTGTTCTTGTGCCAGTACCAGACTGTTTTGATTACAATGGTTTTGTAGTATAACCTGATATCTGGTATTGTAATCCCTCCAACTTTGTTCTTTTTTTTTATCCTCACCCGAGGACATCTTTCCATTTTTTGTTCAGGTAGAGTGGGAGGGAGAGAGAGGAACAGAGAGAGAGAGAGAAACATCGATGTGAAAGGAACACATCGAGTGGCTGCCACCCGCACAACCGACCAGGGCCGGGGACAAACTGCAACCGAGGTACGCGCCCTTAGCGGGAACCGAACCCGGGTCTCTCAGGACCGCAGGCCGACGCTCTAACCGCTGAACCAAACCGGCCAGACTTTGTTCTTCTTTTTTAAGATTTCCGTGGCTACCTGGGGCCTGTTTTGGTTCCATATAAACTTTTAGAATTTTTGTTCTAGCTCTGTAAAGTATGCCATTGTTACTTTAATAGGAATTGCACTGAATCTATATATTGCTTTGGGTAGTATTTTCATTTTAATGATTATGAGTCTTCCAATGCATGAACATGGTATATGCTTCCATTTACTTATTTATTTTTTTAATGTCTTCCTCGTTTTCTTTTTTCAATGTCCTATAGTTTTCTGCGTAAAGGTGTTTCACCTCCTTGGTTAAGTTTATTCCTAGGTATCTTAATATTTTTGTTGCAACCGTAATCATAAAAATAATTATATTTCCTGATTTTCAGGATAATCAAATCATTATTATCAAGAAAACTTTACTTTATAAACTGCCACTTACCTAGAATTCAAACAAAAAAGCTAACACAGTTATGTTTAAAAACAATATTGTAAACCAATAAAAAATATTCAAAATTATGTGAAGTCAGATATATTGACTTCAAAATATCTGTGTCAATATGCAAATAAAAAAACTCTGAAGGCTAGCAATTCATTTATAGTAGGTAGCTGTGATGACTGATAGTTAATTAGAATATGCAAATAACCAGAACATTTCCAGTCTCTGACCAATCTTAACAAATGTGGCTTTACTCTAATAAGAATGTATATATCTTCATAATTTGGCCCTGGATCCATCTGTATAACTTACATGTAGTTTTCCTTTCAACTTATCCAAGAAGCTTTTGTTTTGGTATGGAAAAACATTGTTGTTTACTGTTTCATATAAATTTAATTTATAAAATTAATTTGTACTAGCTAGCACTTTCCATCACATATAGCATATAGTAGATACACAAATGGTTGTGAGCAAACTGAATGGCAAAAATTGAACCAGTAAAAAGAGTATGCTCTTCCTAAGACTATAACAATTTCCAACACCTGATCATTAAAATTCATAATGTACCCTTTCTTCTCAGCAATAAAGTTAACCTCAATGAAGGACTTGTAAATACTTACTCTCTCTGCTTTCAGGCTCATTTTGTTCAAGAACACAAGTTCCTGATGGTTTCAGTTGCCACTGTAAAAGGGTACAAACATTTTATTTATATGTTTAAGACAGATTTAAGAAATAGTATTTCAGCACCCTGCTTTCAAATATCAAAGCAACTTTAAAAATGTAAGAAAAAGAGTTAGCATGTCTATACCAATCAAGCCCTAATGACCCTGAATGATATGACTTTGGGGATCAAAATCAATATTCTGAGAGAATAAATTAACTTTAAAGATTATTTACCCTTTTATATGTAAGGAAGTGGAAGATCAGAAAAGTGCAGTGACTTGCTCAAGTTTCACACCAACTATAGGCAGCAATAGAATTAGAATCTGGGTCAGCCTGTGCCCAAAGCTATAGAATTTCTACCACCTCATACTCTATCTCCAGGTCCTACCAATCTTATAATAACTAGAGAAGGCCTAGATATTAAAAAAATGAAAATATGGCCATGATTACCTTGCCTTTTAATATAGTTATATCATATATAATATTATTTAGATCATATCATATCACATCACCTCTCTGATTAGGTTTCCATCTTAACTATTCAGAAAGAAATAGGGAGTCTGAAGAGTCTCAGATGTTACAGAGGAGACTGGAGCAGCAGGTAAGAAAAACTGAGGGTAACCAGAATCTCACAGCACAGCCCTTCCTGACTGATGACTAGAAATCCCTATCGTCAGAATCATTTATTGACTTAACCACAAAGGCCCACCTAGGGCACTGTCTCCAGAAAGACATGATGAGGTGTTTAGTAACTGGGAGCCTCTTCTATACCATCAGTTACTTCACAGATAAACTAGCTGATATTGTGGGCCTCGGAGGGAGGATAAGATGCGAGATAAACATTTTACCATGTGGAAAAGAAGTCATTGGAAAGGGAGGACATTGAGAACTGGTTAGTTACCTGTAGAAATGGGATGGTTAGGGTTAGCACCAGAAAAAAGAGGACTTATAAAGGGTGGGAAGTTATATATAAAAATTTATTTTAAAGACATGTTTTAAAACATGTCAAACCACTAATATCTATTGGTTTGGGCAAAGTAAAAACTAGTAATCGTGAGTTTACATTTAAGAATAATCACAAAAAGACTATTTCCAACTGTAAAACTTCGAAGCATTGCAGGCGTCGAACAATAGGACAGTGGTTAAGTAAGTTATGTCTATAGATTGAAATGTGTAATTATTAAAAAATTATTTTTGAAGAATTTTCAATGACAGAAAATATAACATGTCAACAACAGTATCTGTGAGTTGTGGGTAATATAAGTTCTTTTTTATTTTCTTAGTTCTCTACAAGGAGCATATATTAATTTTACAATAAAAAAAAAAAAAACTAATATGACCTAATAGAGAAAAATCCACATGCATTAAATTTTTTAAAAAAGAGTTATGAGTAAATGGACATGGGTTTACACTGGTAAAATCTATTTTTGAAAATACTGTTGCTCAACCCTAGCCTAACGGGCAAAACCCCTGCAGAACAGAACCACTTATCTTAAGACATATGTGATACCTCAAGGAGAAAAGTAAACATTTTTTACACAAAATTAGTTTCAATATGCTTTAATCTTTTTAAAATATAAAATTTATTCATACTCTTATACGACTTTTGACAGTCTAAAAGTGTAATCATTAAAATCCAAACTTAGAACAAATATTAGTTCATGTTAGTGACTGGTATTTACAAAACTAGGTGTTTAGCTGACCAGGTAGTTTAAATCATTGACATCCCTTTGGAAGCCAGGCCAGAGGAGGGAAAGGAGCAGAGGGGAGAAGATGCACTGGGAGGGGCACGGAGTGTGCCCGAGTGAGGGTATTCCTGTGGGTCCTGGGCCAACGGAGTCTGTGTGGCCTGTCTCCGCTCAGAGGGCCTCCACGCCCTTTGTCTCCCTGGCTGCTTCCACTCCTCTGCCCTACCTTCCATGCTTCTGATCTCTCCAATCTCTTTACAACTGAAAAGCTACTAAAATCCACCAGTAAGCAAGATATTTCAGAATTCACTTTACCCATTACACAGGCCTAAAATGCTAGGTTACTTAATCTCTATGAAGAGAATTTGAAAAGTTCTTCCCACCCTCAGGAGAAATGAAGAGATAGAAAACAAAAACACGGAACTGGGGGTTTCTCCTTCACTGGCTGGGTGCAAGCTTTTGTTTACAATGTTTAGTTTTACAAATGCTTTTTTCCCCATCTCTCCCTTCTTTGAGTCACCCCCCACCCCCTGTTTTTATTAAAATAGCGATAAACTTTAAGTAAAACTGAAGATTTAAGAAAAAGCACAGGACAAAAATTTTTTAAAGTAAAAATTTATGACACGTCATACACAGAAACTAGATAGTATATTGTTATATTTTTAAAATTATATATATATATATATCTTAATAAATATCTTTTAAGTGCTTTGCAGGGGTGGGTAAAAGTAAGTTAAATTACCAGCCATCATTACCTAAAAGATAAATCATAAGTAAAAATATGAAATAATAATAATATTAATGCAAATAAATAATATAATAATTACTAAATAATACAAAAATAAGCTGTTTCATGTACTCACAACTGTAAACCTACTTTTGCCCACCCCTGTACCTGTTCCAGGCACCCTGGACTCAAATGAAAAGTTGAATTTTTTATTTTATTTTATTAATTTGTTTTTGTTACAGATGTTTCTCATTTTTCCCCCATTGACACCCTCCTCCCCTTACCCCCCCACCCCATCCCCAGCTTTGTTGTCTGTGTTCATTGGTCATGCATACATGCATGTAAGTTCTGTGTTTTATCTCTTCTTCCACAAACTCCCCCTCCTCTGAGATTTATAAATAGTTCTATTATACGTCTTTTGTACCCACCGCAAATTCTAGTATATTTATCATTAAAAACGAACAGGATCATTTTGCCATACAGAACATCACTGGGAGAACTGGGACACTCTGACTGGAATCTCCAGAGGAAATGGCAGGAAAGCATCAATAATGATTTCCTGAGATTTGTGATTGGATGGTGCTTATGTGGGAGAATATACTGTTTCAGAAAATATACACTATGCCCTGCCTGGTTTGGCTCAGTAGTTAGAGCGTTGCCCCACAGACCGAAGGGTCTTGGGTACGATTCCCAGTTGAGAGCACATACCTGGGTTGCAGGTTCAAATATCGGCCCCAGTTGGGGTCGTGCAGGAGGCAACCAATCAATGTGTCTTTCTCACATCGATCTTTCTCTCTCTCTATCTCTTCCTCCTTCCCTTCCACTCTCTCTAAAAATCAATACAAAAAATATCCTTGGGAGAGGATTAAAAAAAAAAGAGGAAAATATACAAGAAAGTATTTAAGGGTGATTTGGTATTGTGTCAACAACTTATTCTCAAATGTTTCTGGAAAAAAATTTCTTCTAGTGTTTTTTAACTTTTGTGTATATTAGCAATTGTTTCTACAAAGAAAAAGTTTTTTAAAAACCTAAATAGTAAAAGACTATAAAGAGTTAAAGTTCTGAGTTTTCCATGAACTATGTCAGTACAGTTTTTGATACAGTATATCAAATATTAAATCCCTTCTAACCTTTTCTGATATTTCTTATGAAAATGTGTGCACATGTGTCTATGTATATGTGTGTGTAGGTCCCTCTCCATCTTTTGGGTAATCTTAAACTATTTCCACCTTGTTTACTGCTCCATCCAAGCCAGAAGAAGAGTATCAGGGATGTTCTTTTGTTTTTTTTTTTTGTTTTTTTTTTTTTTTTTATCCTCACCCGAGGACATTTTTCCATTTTTTTTTTTGTACAGATAGAGTGGGAGGGAGAGAGAGAGAGAGGGAAACATCGACGTGAAGGGACACATCGAGTGGCTGCCACCCGCACGACCAACCAGGGCCGGGGACAAACTGCAACCGAGGTACATGCCCTTAGCGGGAACCGAACCCGGGTCTCTCCGGACCGCAGGCGGACGCTCTAACCGCTGAGCCAAACCGGCCAGGGCGGGATGTTCTTTTGTTAAGCTATGAGGTAGCATCAAAGGGTCCACTAAATAAAGACCTGTAAAGTCAATATACAACTCTCTCTATAAAGATGTAAATTAAATATTTGTAATTAGGCAAGTGCTTGCACATAAAAATAAATTCAATGATAATAGTTCGTTGACACTCTTTAAAAGGGTGGGAATTACTAAGTTAAAATATGTAGCAGGTTACCAAATAATATAATAGAAAGTATACTTGAAAAAAGTGTGTATCTTACTTACTGTAAATTTGCTAACACCCTCAAGTTCTCCAAATCGCATGTAAGAGATGTCTGCCTTCTTTTTTCCAACATCTATATCCCCTGTATAGATTTGTTTTATGCCTGCACCTTTAATTAAAGGTACACACTCATCACATGGGCACTTTGTCACAAAAATCATACTTTTTTCTTCTGGTTTTATTTCTTGACACCTACAAAAAATTTATAATATATTAAAAAGGTAGCTTCTGAAAAGGTAAGTTATATTTCAGAGAAATCTTTAAAAACTAAAACTGAGCTGCTTTAAGGAGAGATTTACATTATAAATAACAATAAGCGAAACTTATTACTGAATTAATGAATGTTCAAAATATATAAATTCATAAATGTTAAACAATAACCCAAACATGACAATTATTATAACTGAAACTTATTTATTCTAAGCAATTTGGCAAGATTTCAGTATTATATTACAAAGTAAATGAAAACAGGCCAGTTTGGTTCAGAGGTTAGAGTGTTGGCCACATACTGAAGGGTTGCGGGTTCGATTGTGGGTCAAAGGGCATGTACCTGGGTTGCAGGTTTGATCCCTGGAACCAACTGGGGTCATGGGAGAGGCAACCTATCAATGTGTCTCTCTCACATCAATGTTTCTCTCTCTTCCTCCCTCCCTTCCACTCTCTTTAAAAATCAATGGAAAAATATTCTCAGGTGAGGATAAAAACAACAAAAAAACAAAGTAAATGAAAACATAAAGAGACAGATACTAAAAGACAGAGAGAGGAAGAGAGAACACAATGTTCTCTAAGTAAGAACTTCTTTATAATGCTGGAAGTAAGGGCCAGAACTAACACACTACCCCCTTAAAAGTTTATGATGTATGATTAGACATTAAGTCATCACAGTAGCCCAAAGATCTAGCCCATTATCTGGTACCTAATAGACATTTAATAAATGCTTATTAGATTGATAAATTAATATTAAAGTTCTGGATTGAGTTATAGTTCCCTTACCTCCTCCCTAATACAGGATAATTTTATTAATAAATATTTGGGTTTAACAGATCCATATCTCCATATAAAATGAAGCAATAAATCTGTATGAAGAGTACAAGGAAAAGAGAGAGGCATTGTTTGATGAGGGTAGTTTAGGACTAAGGGATGCTCTCCTCTGAGGCTACAGGGGTACGTGTACGTCCCAGTTCTGTGGTTTACTCTGCTCAGAGTCACTGTCTTACACCACCATGCCTTCCATACCCATCTCTCTAGTTCAGACTCATTCATTTGCCTGGACTAAGGCAACATAATTTTATGCACCTAGTCTATCCAAACAATATGCCCACAACCTAAGCAATCCGTAAACCTGTCAATGCCATTCCATTTCCCCACCAACTGCCAAATGAAGTCTGACCTCACAGTCTTCCCTATAGAGTCCCAACCTAGTCCCATGTGCTCCATGGTCCAGCCTAACTGGGACATGCATGGTCCTGCACACACAAGCATATTTCCTACTTCTAGACCACTATTATGCCTGAAGCAAGAATGACTTCCCTGCAAGTATCTCCAGTTGCCACAATCCTACCAAACTTTCAAGTTCAGCTTAAGTGCTAGTTCCTCCATAAAGCTTTGCCTCCCACGCCCCCTCCATCCGTAGTAGCCATGAATTTCCACTGCACTTGGGTTGGCCTTTCCCACACAACCAGTCACATAGATGAATGTACTGTTACATCCCCTACTGTACTACAAGCTCCTGAGGACAGGAGCCATATTTTATTCAGTGTTGAATATCCTTAGATACCCCTGTAATGGTTAATGCTGAGAAATGTTTGTGGAAATAGTCTAAATTAACATTAATCTGAATTAATGCCAGTTACAACTTTAACAAAAACTATTTTAAAGCAATTTAATTCAAAACAAAATCTATATATTAATATATACAAAATATGTGCTTTTGGTTTAGAAAACAAAACAGAGATTACATTCCAGAAATATATAAGACCCAAAGGACATACTTCATGCCATTTTATATTGGAGAACAAAGTAAAAGGGAGGAAAAATCAATTTCTCAATAAATCTGAAGCCCATGGGATCTCTGATAATGGCCTCAGGTCAGACAGCAAGGACCAAGTATAACCAGAGTAATACTTCTAAAAGAGTATTTCTACGGTAACAAATTCGACAATCTAAGCAAAATGGACTAATTTCTAGAAACACATAGTCTCCCAAAACTGAACCAGGAAGAGATAGAAAACTTGAACAGACCTATAACAACAAAAGAAATTGAAGATGTAATCAAGACTCTCCCAGCAAACAAAAGCCCAGGTCTGAACGGCTTCATGGGGGAATTTTACCAAACATTCAAAGATGAACTAATACCCATTCTCCTCAAACTATTCCAAAAAATTCAAGAAGAAGAAAGACTTCCAAACTCGTTTTATGAGGCCAGCATAATTCTAATTCCAAAACCAGACAAAGACACTAAAAAAAAAGAAAACTACAGGCCAATATCCCTGATGAACATAGATGCCAAAATCCTGAACAAAATACTAGCAAGTCAAATCCAGCAACACATCAAAAAAATTAATCACCATAACCAAGTGGGATTCATCCCAGGGATGCAAGGCTGGTACAATATTCGCAAATCAATAAATGTGATACCTCACATAAACAAAATGAAAGATAAAAATCGTATGATCATATCAACAGACACTGAAAAAGCATTCGACAAAATCCAGCATCCATTTCTGATAAAAAAGCTCAGCAATCTGGAATAGAAGGATCATATCTCAACATAATAAAGGCCATATATGAAAGACCTACAGCCAACATGATACTCAATGGGCAAAAACTAAAAGCATTTCCCTTAAGAACAGGAACAAGATAAGGATGCCCACTTTCGCCACTCTTATTTAACATAGTACTGGAAGTCTTAGCCACAGCAACCAGACAGGAAGAAAAAATAAAAGGGATCCAAATTGGAAAGGAGGAAGTGAAACTGTCATTATTCGCAGATAACATGATACTATACGTAGAAAAATCTCAAAGACTCCATCAAAAATTTATTAGACTTAATAAGTGAATTTGGCAAAGTAGCAGGATACAAAATTAACATAAGCAATCAATGGCATTCTTTTTTTATTTTTTTTATTTTTTATCCTCACCTGAGGACATTTTTCCATTTTTTGTTCAGATAGAGCAGGAGGGAGAGAGACGAAGAGAGAGAGAAAGAAACATCGTTGTGAAGGGACACATCGAGTGGCTGCCACCCGCACGACCAACCAGGGCCGGGGACAAACTGCAACCGAGGTACATGCCCTTAGCGGGAACCGAACCCGGGTCTCTCTGTACCGCAGGCCGACGCTCTAACCGCTGAGCCAAACCGGCCAGGGCTCAATGGCATTCTTATACACCAATGATGAACTCACAGAAAGAGAAACTAAAAAGACAGTCCCATTTACCATTGCAGCAAAAAAATTACGATACCTAGGAATAAACTTAACCAAAGAAATAAAGGACCTATTCACAGAAAACTACAGGTCATTGAAAACAGAAATAGAGGAAGATATAAAAAAGTGGAAGCATATACCTTGCTCATGGATTGGAAGAATTAACATAATTAAAATGTCCATACTACCCAAAACAATCCAAAGATTCAATGCCATCCCCATCAAAATACCAACGACATACTTCACAGAACTAGAACAAATACTTCAAAAGTTCATATGGAACCAAAAAAGACCCCGAATAGCCATAGCAATCTTGAAAAAGAAGAACAAAGTTGGAGGGATCACATTACCAGATTTCAGGTTATACTACAAAGATACTGTAATCAAACCAGCCTGGTACTGGCACAAGATCAGGCAGATAGATCAATGGAACAGAATAGAGAACCCAGAAATGGATCCAAGACAATATGTTCAATTAATATCTGACAAAGGTGACAAGAGCATACAATACAGTCAAGACAGCCTCTTCAATAAATGGTGTTGGGAAAACTGGACAGCTACATACAAAAAAAAGAAACTAGACCATCAACTTACACCATACACAAGAATAAACTCAAAATGGATAAAAGACTGAAATGTGACTCATGAATCCATAAAAATCCTAGAAGAAACTGTAGGCAACAAAATTTCAGACATCATACGCAGCAGAATTTTCACTGATACATCACCTAAGGCAATAGAAACAAAGGAGAAAATGAACACATGGGACTACATCAAACTAAAAATCTTTTGCACAGCAAAAGATACAATCATTAAAATGGAAAGGCAACCCATTGTATGGGAGAGCATCATTGCCAGTGATATATCAAATAGGGGGTTAATTTCCAATATATAGAGAGTGCTCATACAACTCCACAAAAGGAAGACAAAGAACCCAATTAAAAAATAGGCAGAGGAACTAAATAGACACCTCTCCAAACAGGAAATACAAATGGCTAAGAGACATATGAAGAAATGCCATCATCACTAATCATCAGAGAGATGCAAATTAAAACAACAATGAGGTATCACCTTGCCATCAACAAACCATCAAACAACAAGAGCTGGCGAGGGTGTGGAGAAAAGGGGACTCTAGTACACTGCTGGTGGGAATGCAGACTGGTGCAGCCACTATGAAAAACAATACGGTGTTACCTCAAAAAATGAAAAATTGAACTGCCATTTGACCCAGTGATCCCACTTCTAGGAATATTCCCTAAGAAGCTTGAAACACCAATCAAAAAGAATATATGTACCCCCATGTTTATAGCAGCACTATTTACAATAGCTAAGATCTGGAAACAGCCCAAATGTCCATCAGTAGCCAAATGGATAAAAAAGCTTTGGTACATATACGCAATGGAATACTATGCAGCTGTAAGATAGAAAGATCTCTTATCCTTTGAGATGGCATTGAGGGACCTGGAAGGTATTATCCTAAGCGAAACAAGCCAAACAGAGAAAGACAAATATCACATGATCTCACTTATTTGTGAAATATAATGAACATGACAGTCTGAGGAATGGGGTAGTCCCAGAGACATGTAAGTGGGGTACAGACTGATAATCCCCAGAAGAGGGGGTGGTGGGGGAGAGATAAACCACAGAACTTACATGCATATATGCATGAACAATGTATATGGACAGCAAAGCTGGGGACAGGGTGGGGAGGGAGAGGGAGGAGGGAATCAGTGGGGGCAAAAGGAGAAACATCTGTAACAAAAATAAATAAATTAATTATAAAACAAAATAAAAAAATAATTCACAAACTAAAAAAAAAAAAGAATATTTCTTGGGGAAAAAAAAAAGGAATTGAATTACAGCTAAAAGAACACTAATTTCAGTCCTGGCTGGGTGGGTGGCTCAGTTGGTTGGAGCATCATCCTGTACACCAAAAGGCCATGGGTTTTATTCCCAGTCAAGGCACATGCCTAGGTTTCAGGTTCGATCCCTGGTTGGGGCACGTATGGGAGGCAACAGATCTCTCTCTCTCTTTTTCTCTCTCTAAAATCAATTTGAAAAAAGAAAAAGAAAACTAATTTCAACTAATCCTTGCTACATTTAAATAAAAATAAATGCAAATGAGTTTCATACCTAAACGTCAAGGCATTCTGTTCCGCATGGACAATGTATCTGAATTTCCTTATTTCTCTGTCTTTCTGTTTGTCATCCATGTTTGGGAAGTCAGCATACTCAGATCCAACAGGAAAAGCATTATAACCACATCCTATGAAGTACATCATGCCTGTCCCATCACAATTTTGCTACAAAAGGGAGCAAAACAACAAAACTTAATTTTCAACATTCTGAAAAGGCAGCTTAGTATCATGATAACTTTGTATAATTAATTGCATTTTTTATGAAAAACAGCCATCAAAAAAAAAAAAAAATACATTATTAGATCCTCCAACTGCAGTGTGGTCTTGTCAAAGGTAAATTTCAAGAAGGCTGATCATCTATCTAACATATAATGTCAAAGCAGAATTGGTTTTAGCAGTTAATTAAATACTAGCTTGTCTAATTCACAGATTGTTTCACTTGATTCAGACATCTCTCTTGGAACAGGTAATAAGATACTGTGTGACAAAAATCATCCTTTCTTCTTTATTACCCCTTACCTTACTTCTATTACTATGTTTCATACATAGGTACTCAATACACGATTGATAATTTCATATATGCTCTGGGCTATCCTACTGGTTAGCAAGCCATAAATTTAAAAAATATTTTTAACAATTTCTGTTGTTAGGCTAAAAATGTGCTAATGTGATACAGTTGGAAAATTAAAATTTTACTTTCCTATAATCTTCAATAATTATTGAACCCCTATTGTATGTGTATATACTATCATAGGGCTTCTTACTTCATTGGTTCTTCTTTATTTTTACTGGTCAATGGCATATTAGGTATTAATATGAATGCTTTATCAATTATTAGAGTGATATATTTTATAAATCACAAGTATTTATAGTAGTTTGAAATATGCTATAATAAACCTCACTAAATTTCAATATATTATAATTACTCATGTGAAAGTATCAACAGATTCACTACTGTAGCAGCTTGACAAATTCGCTTATAGTGAGTGAACAAAAGCTTACAAATAAAATATTATTGCATTAATAATAAATTATTCTTGAGTTCTTACTAAATGTCTAACATCATGCTGAGTTTTATATGTTTTATTTCACTTAATCAATTTCCGCAATCTAGAGAGTAGCACTATCATTATTTCCATTTTGTGGATAAGAAATTAAAGCCAAAAGAGACTAAATGTGTCCAGGGTCATACGTAAGTAACACAGATGAAATTCAAGCCCAGGTTGCTTGACTCCAAACCCATGTCTTTCCATTTTGCCATGCTGTGTACACTATAGATAATTTAATTGGAAACTTCAGTTCTCCACATAGTAGTCGAAAACAATTAGATGTTAAGCCAAAGGCTGCTGAGCATTCATATAAACACAAATAAGAGCTCCAACCATAGGCCAGGCACTGTGCAAGGTGCTGGGAATCCAGTTGTAAACAAGACGGGTAATCCCTGCCCTCTGCAGAGGAACCTATTCTAGTAGGTGTTAAGAGTTGAGGTAGAGATAAGTAGTGTCAACAGATATTTTGAAGGTGGAATCCACATTACTTGGTGATTGGTTGGAAGTGTGGAGTAACAGGGAATGGAATGGTGACCACTGATGAAGAAACAGTTTAGCAGGGAAAATACTAGTTGTAATGGCTAAGACAAACTTCAAGGACTTATGAAACACCCAGGCAGAGAGTCAAATGATTTGTTGAAAAGTCTACTGAAGCAAAATTCAGGCTCCGATACCTGGTTACTAAGTACTATTTCTTAATTCTATGCTCTACTAATCCATCCCCATAATTCCAAGCCCTCATCACCTTTTTTATGAATGTCCTTATTTCCTGTCTAGCCCCACATCATTATTTTTACAATACAAACCTAAAGCAATCATTTTCCCAGTTAAAAGATTCTTGGATAGCACTATCCAATACAGTTAGCCACAGCCACATGTGATTAGAACAAAATGACCGGTGTGGTAAGTGTAAAATATACACAAGATTTTGAAGACAATACACCTCAAAATGCAGAACACTTTATTAATATTATATATGTCTTTTAAAAACAACATTTTCAATTGATTTTACTGGGGTGACACTGATTAAAAAAATTATACAGGTTTTGGGTGCACAATTCTACAGCACATTATCCGTACACTGTATTGTGTGTTCACCACCCCAAGTCAACTCTCCATTCATCACCATTTATTCTCCCTATACTCTCCTCCACCTCCTCCCACCCTGTCCCTCAACAGGCAATCACCACAATGTTGTCCAAGTCCAAGAGTTCTCCTTTTTTTCTCTTTTTTTGCAAATTCCCTCCACGACCCTGGTCCCCTCCCCCAACAGCTGTCAGCCTGCTCTCTATCTATGAGTCTATCTCTATTTTGTTTGTTAGTTCATTTTATTCATTGGATTCCACATATGAGTGAAATCATAATGTACTTGTATTTCTCTGACTAGCTTATTTCACTTAGCACAATGCTCTCCATGTTCATTCATGCTGTTGCAAAGGGTACGATTTCCTTGTTTTTAATTTTTGCCAAGTAGTGTTCTACTCTGTAAATATATCTCAGATTTTTTATCCACTTATCTACTGATGGACACTTGGGCTGCTTCCAACTCTTGGCTATTGTAAATAATGCAGCAATAAATATAAGGGTGCATGTATTCTTCTGAATAGGTGTTTCTATTTTCTTCAGATATATTTCTAGAATTGGGAACGCTGGGTCATGAGGCAGTTCCATTTTTAATTTTTTGAGGAAACTCTATATTGTTTTCCACAGTGGCTGTACCAGTCTGCATTCCCACCTTTTCTCCACATTCTCACCAACATTTGTTGTTTGTTGGTTTATTGATGTTAGTCATTCTGACAGGTGTGAGATGACATCTTATTGTGGTTTTAATTTGCATTTCTCTGAGGATTAGTGACATTGAGCATCTTTTCACATGTCTATTGGCCATCTGTAGGTCCTTTTTGAAGAAGTGTCTATTCAGGTCCTTTGCCCATTTTTAATTGGATTTTTTTTTTTTTAGTGTTGAGATTTATAAGTTCTTTATAAATTTTGGATATTAACCCCTTATCAGATGTATCACTGGTAAATATGTTCTCTCATTCAGTTATCTTTTCTTTTTTTTTTATTGTACATAAACTTTTTAGTTTGATGTAGTTGCATTTATTTATTTTCTCTTTTGAGTCCCTTGCCTGAAGAGATATATCAGAAAAAATTTTGCTATGAGAAATGTAAAAGATTTTACTGCCTATGTTTTCTCCTAGGATTTCTATGATTTAAAGTCTAACATTTAAGTTTTCCATCCATTTTGAGTTTATTTGAGTTTATTCTTATGTATGGTGTAAGAAGGTGATCTAGTTTCATTTTTTTGCATGTGTGTGTTCAATATTCCCACCATTTATTGAATAGACCATCTTTACTCCATTGTATGTTCTTGCCTCTTTTGTAAAATACTAATTGACTATAAAGACATGGATTTATTTCTGGGCTCTCTATACTGTTGCATTGATCTATATGTTTGTTTTTATGCCAGTACCATGATGTTTTGATTATTATGGACTTTTAGTATAGTTTGATATTAGGTAGCATGATTCCTTCAACTTTGTTCTTCTTCTTCAAGATTGCTGTGGCTATTTGGGGGTCTTTTGTGGTGCCATATAAATGTTTGGAAAATTTGCTCTAGTTCTGTGCAATACACCATTGGTACCTTGATAGGAATTGCACTGAATATACAGATTGCTTTATATAGTATGGACATTTTAATGATGTTAATTCTTCCTATTCAAAAACACGATATATGCTTTCACTTATTTGTATCTTTTTCCATTTCTTTCTTCAGTGTCTTATAATTTTCTGAGTACAGGTCTTTAACATTATTGGCTAAATTTATCCCTAGTTATTTTATTCTTTTTGAAGCAATCGTGAATAGGATTGTTTTCTTAGTTTCCCTTTCTGATAGTTAATTATTGGTGTATAAAAATGAAACTAATTTCTGGATATTTTTTTTATTTGCTGCTACTTTACTGAATTCATCTATGAGTTCTAGTAGTTGGTGGAATCTTTAGGGTTCTCTATATACAGAATAATGACATCTGCAAATAATGACAATTTTACTTCTTTCTTTCCAATTTAGATGCGTTTTATTTCTTCTTCTTGTCTGATTGCTGTGACTAGAACTTCCAGTACTATGTTGAATAAGAGTGGTGAAAACAGACATCCCTGTCTTTTTCCTGACCTTAAGTGAAAAGCTTGTAGTTTTTGCCCATTGAGTATTGATGTTGGCTGTAGGTTTGTCATACATGGCCTTTATTATGTTGAAGTATGTTCCCTCTATTCCCACTTTGCTGAGTTTTTATCATAAATGGGTGAATTTTATCAAATGTTTTTTCTACATTCTGATACATAGTTTTTATCCTTCAATATGTTTATATGGCTTATTACGTTTATTGATTTGTGAATATTATACCAACCCTGCATCCCTGGAATGAATCCCACTTGTTCATGGTGTATGATCTTTTTAAAGTATTGCTCGATCTGGTTCGCTAATATTTTGTTGAGGATTTCAATATCTATGTTCATCAGAGATACTGGCCTATAATTTTCTTTCTTCATACTGTCTTTATCTGGTTTTATTTATTTCTTTTCTTTTTTTTTTTAAAAAATATTTATTGTTGAATGTAGAATGCATTACAGAGGTTCCTCTTTTCCCCCCATTGACCCCCTTCTCCCCCCTCGTACCCCCCTCCTTCCTTTTCCCATACTATTGTCTGTGTCCATTGGTTATGCATATAAGGTCTTTGGTTTATTTCTTCCCACGCCCCCAACCCCTTTCCCTTTGAGGTTTGTCAGTCTAGCAATGAATTTGTACTTCTTAATGCTTTCACCTTTTTCACCCATTCCCCCAAACCCCCTCCCATCTGGCAACCAACAAAATGTACTCTGTATCTCCGAGAATGTTTCTGTTCTGCCTGTTCATTTTGTTTGTAGATTCCACTGTCGATAGATATGTATTCATTGCCATTTTGTTTGTTCATATATTTTATCTTTTTCTTCAAAAAGACCCTTCATCATTTCACATAATAACGGTTTGGTGGTGATGAATTCCTTTAACTTTTTCTTGTCTGGGAAACTCTTTATATGGCCATCAATTCTAAATGACAGGTTTGCAGGATAGAATAA